TGACAGGGGTTTGGAAGTGCTTATTCTTTTTATTTTTATTTTTTTTTACGATGGTCAGGTTTAGCGCACGTTCATTCTAATACTGCTGTCATTTGGGTGTTTGAATATGCAAGGTGTAATCATCTTTTATTCAGTTTTAAATATTTTGAATAAACTTCAACCGCGTGTGACAAATAAACAGCTTGAAGCGAGCATGCCGGACCTCTTATTTGGACAACTGCGTGATCAAGTCTGTTTGTTTGCTCAAAGTCACCCACTTCTTGACAGCAAGAGAGTGAGAACAGGTGCTCATGGAATACTTTAAAAAGAGCGTGTTCGTAAATAAGTTTGGATGTGTTCGAAGTGTGTGGGAGGTGGAAAACTCACAAGTGGACCCGGAACCCCGCCGTACACTGGGATTCGACGCATATCCTATCACTATTTACAATGACGACCAGCTATAAACGGGAGGCTAAAATTGCTGCCGTTGAACATTTGCAATATGTGCAATCATCCCTGAGAAAAAGCAAATACGCGTCATTCTCCAGAGCTTAGCAACCACACTGGGACAGCAACCGCCTGAATGAAAAGGCCATAAAGCGTCAGCGACTCCTGCGGATGCCTTTCGGGTGCGGAGAGTAACCAGTGCTAGTTGCTGTCTGCTAATGAGAAAGCCTCCTGTGGTTTTATACGCCCTTGATTAGGATGTCAGGCCCGTATGGCCTTGGGGGCGGTAGCACAAGTTGCAGATTGTCTCTGTTCGATTGCATGTCCAGCACATACCACACTGCGGGGCTTGTTTTCAACAGGAAGCCATTAGAGTGCATTTAGCCCATCCTTGTGTTTACACGGGGATGTCTGTGCGGCTGCTTAAAAGTAGGCAATTATACTTATCAACACTTTACACTCTTGAATTATTAACAGGAACGGAGGAATGAAAACGCTGATACATTTTCATGTAACGAACATCGGGAAAGGCCGACCTTTTCATGTTTTATTTTGAAATCGAATCACCATCGTGCCTCATGTATTTCTACGCTGAGCTCTGCGTGACGGCAGTAATAGTCCATGTTGAACGATTATCACCGCGAAGCTTCGAAGGCCTATGTAGCAGTTTCACAAACTTGGGGTCGGGTTGACCATCCGTTCAGTTGTTTTATTGATCATCAATTGGTGCATTATGTTAAACAGGGGTGTGCCGGTGCGCAAGATTTCAATGTCGTGCTCCAGCACAAGTCTGCGCTTTTGTGCACGAAAAAGAGGTCAGGCCAGCCTCAATTCGAAGTCAAGTCAGCCGCCACAACAATGGCTTCAGAGGACCAAGTTCAAAACAAAAGCCAGGTTAAGGCGTTGATATCTAGTATCACTTGTTTCGCTTTTATTTTGAAGGTGACCCTCGCAGCGTGTTTCATCGTAGCCTATGAACAACCGATGTGTCGGCTGGCTTGACTAGGCCGGCTCCTCGCTAATGCATCCCCGGATTGCTGTGACACGGCTTTGCCGGACTGTCAAAATATGGCCTGATGCGAAAGCGGTCCATGATGGGCGGGTGGGGGGGGCCTGTGGACCTCTGCCTGAGAGAACTGTGCTAAGTAAGCTAGCTGATCACAGGGTCCGATACTGCAAGTCAGAGGTAGGCAATTATTTATTTTAGAACGGGCCCTGCAACTCGATTGACTTCAATCGGAATTGAATGTCCTATGATAAAACAATAAACTGTATTGTTTTCATAAGCTCCCGTTGTGTAGCCCTGGTATAATTATGTAACTGTAACTCGGAAACAAAAATGGAAAGTTGGAAAATAAAATTTACAATTTCAGCAAGTTGATTGAAATTACATTTATACACAACAATAAATCTTGCCCAGATGGGTCAAAAGTCTTTGGGTTCATCTCTGAGGTCGGTGGGTCTGGGAATAAAAAATGACAACCGCGCCAAAATGGTTATCGGCACACCCGACAGTAAATAAAGCCTATTGTCATCCGATGTACACTTTCTTGATGAAATGACCATACATGTACAAGTTTCGGTCCCGTGGAGTGACCAGATTTGTAGTTGAGACTCAGCCTGATAAGCCAACAGCACTTAACGGAAAACTAGGATACTTTAAGGTAACTCATAAAATGAAACCGGATCACATTTTATGGATGGCCGGCAAATGGTCCGACCCTGATTTTATAAAGTGCCAATGAAGTGTGTGTGTGTTTAAAAAGTATAAAACAACTAGCATCGAGTTGTTCTTGGGCCAACAAGTAACAGATCTGTACAGCATATGGTGTTGTAAAAACAGAACACCAATATGATTTTCATCCACTCACATTTTGGATTGTGTTCAACTTTTGGATGGAGGACAATGCGAGAAATGGGGTCAGTCAGAGCTTTTTGGGGTTGAAGCAAATGGTCATTGCAGCCTGACAATATTTGAGCAGAAATCAAACAAAACTTGAGAAATTTGAGACACGTTGGAATGCAGAGGTGGCAGATGAGGGAATAAAGACGACGATCGTAAACATAAGACTGCAAGTCGCAACAGGAGGACCCCTCAGCTCAGGAAAGCGGTGTTGCTTACAATTCCTTTCATGAAATCCATTCGGCAGCCTTGCAGCCGTCAATTTGTTAGTCCTCTGCAAAAACGCTGGCCTCATTCCATTGTTTCCTTGTGTTTTTCCTCAAGTACACAAAAGTAGGCTCAAGCCAGCAGCGCTAACCCAGAATTCCAAAATGCCGTTGTAGGCCAACAGAAAATTGGGACATCATGTGAGTGGGAGTAAAACTTCATGTGTTTATAATTACGGCACAACAAAAACGAAAGCGAGTTTGTTTTGTGGTTCTTTGGGTGGGGGGGGGAGGGGGAACTATGATAGAAACAAAATTATTTAAATTATCTCTGATAGCAAGCTCCGAGTAGTAAGTTAGTGTGACCAAAGAGTGGAAAAACACTATCTTGTTAACAGCATTTGGCACAGGCCGCAGTTGGGTGTCTTGCAGTAACAACGTGCCGGAGTAGAAAAGACGGAAGCACAGAATGTATTTCAGAGTCAAGGCGGGGAGGTTTTTGCACTTTTTTTCCATTGCGTATTCAAATATGCGACTTGAAAAAAATATTGCGCAATGGCTCAACGAGTCACGTACGCGGAGGCCTCCTATTCTTCCTGACAACTTTTTTTTTAATTTATCTGCATTTGCACACGAGTTGTGGTGTTGTTAACTTGGCTGCCGTCAGTCAGAAGATAAATAACCCGCAAAAAGGAAAAGGACGCCCCCACTGAGATAAGCAAGGGCTATTCATGGTCGAGTTTTACGCCACTGTCAAAACACTTGAAATAGCCAACACTGTAATCCTCATGATCGACGAGCATATAAAAAAAAAAAGTAACCTGAATTATTGGCAAATTGGATTAGCAAGTAGCACACAAAGTCAAAAGCCCCACAGTCAGGAAAAGAGCAGAAAGACAAACAAAACAATATTTTCTATGAAAACAAACAAATCAGAAGTCAACCACACTCACGATTTTAATTTTGTTCAGAAATTCGAGTCAATAGCAAGATTTCATTTACTATTTTACTCTCCGCATCACATGAATTTTAATTGCAATATGATTAGAAGACTTTTTTTCTCTTCTGAGAGATGATCCAATTTCTGAAGGAAAACAGGACGGATTTGCATGCATTCAAATTCAAGATAATAAACGCAAGCCACGATTACAGTAACAAAAACTTCACAAATACACATGGAGTGACACAATTTTGACTTTCAGATGTGGGCCCAACTTATCAATCTCTTATCTCCAATGATGCCCTGTAATTGGCTGGCAACCAGTTCAGGTTGTTCATCGCCTACTGCCCGAAGACAGCTCGGATAGGCTCCGGCGACGTCACTATTCTACATTAATCACTTTTATCACAATATACAGTGAAACTCCTCTACAATGAAACCTACATGGGCGAAAATACCCCCTAGTGTGAAAAAAAATTTCATGCATGAAAGCCATTCCAACTTTTCTGCTCCCCCTACAACAAAAAGTCCCCGTGTTTCGTTATCCGAAATCTTTTTCTCTGCTCTTGCCTCGCAACGAGATTCACTACAATGAAAACAAGCCTTCCGCAAAAGTCTAATCCAGCCTCAGCATGCCACAGCGACCTCTACTGCTTCGTTCGGAAACGGCAACAGCCACCACCACACTGGTTTACACATGCGCAGTAGTACAGGAAGTATTTGCAGCACGAACGTTGCATTGCTAAAATGGCGACAAAACAGACCTTTGCATACCAAGGAGTTAAGAAAAGAAAAGCTTTGATGCTTGAAGACAGGATAAAGGTAATAAAAATGAAAGATGGAGGTAGCAAAATAAAATGTTATGTTATCATGTTACAGGGTGCATGAGAGGGTTAAACCATTTTCATTTTTTTTTTTTTATGTGAGGGAAAATTGACTGCATAATGTGCCGTGTACTCAAGACGACCAACACAGGACACCACACATACATCCCGACAGAAAAGTCATTGTTTCCACCAGTGAGAGGAAGAAACTGTGAGTCTTCCCCGCTTGTGGACAGTCAGATAGTCGTTGCTTTGGCAGTGACACATCCTGGCAACAATAAACCCCTTTGACTCGACTGCTACATTTTGCCTCCGAACTGCACACTGACTATGGGGCATTAACGCTGCGCCTGAGAAAATATGTGACACCCCAGTTTTAATCCATTTAATGTTATCAATCTAAGATTTTCACAGCTCAAATTCTGGCAAGGATTTCCAAAAGGTTTAAGAGTGTGCTCAAGAGATTTATTTTGACCATTCTTCCAGTTGCGCATTTGTGAGATCACACGCTCGTGTCGGACAATCAGGGAGGAGAAATGCTCAAACTGTTTTCACACAATTGGGAGCATTGAATTGTCCAAATAACTTGATAAAATGAGGCATTAAGAGTTCCGTTCAACGGAACTAAGTGGCCAAGATTTAGTGTAATTCTGCGATAGAAACACATTATGGGTTGAATAAGAACAGCTCGAGAGCGAAACCTTCTCAGCCAGGAACTGTGAGATGCTCGGAGCATTGAGTGCAGGGCTGCCACAATTCTCAGCTGTCTTCTCACACACTGAATGAAGCAATCAGCTGGGGGATCTCTTTGTAGACGTGCTGGTTGATCATCTTGCACATACTGAAGGGGAAAATCCATCATTGAAATATCTTTTATGACACCAGTCCCGGAACTTTTATGACACACCTTGCAGCTGCAAACCGTGTGTCAATGTCACATTAACCCAAACAGATTAGTACTGGGATGTCAACTGAGCTCACATGAGTGAAGGCAGGTGATAATACCAGCTTTATTAAGTTATCAGTACCGGTGACGGCGCTGATACCAGACTGACTGAACGTTTTTATAATTGAACTGCATCCACGTCCATCTACTGATACTCTCATTGAGATGGGGTTTCTTTATGCATGTTTATATGGTTAATATTAATGCTTGGAGTGCATTGTTAAGTGTTTTTACCAACATGTTGCTGTTTATTTGTGATCTCAATTTCAGCATGGCTGATAGTGTTTTCTTCTTTTGAATTTAGTCCGTAGCCATCCTCTTACATGCCTATTAAGATGAAAATTAAAGTTTCTGTATGTTTATGAGATCTATATTCTGGTTGAGAGGGCACTACTAGTGCTGCCCTAGTAATGTGGGTGATACGATGACTTTCTCCATTACAGTATTTCATGTATAATTTTTTTTATACATTTACCTGCTTTCATCAACTGAGAAAAATAGGTTTGTATTCAGTACATTAATATGTTTTATTTTTCCTGCTGAACGCAGTACAGGAAACATAGAGCTTTTACTTGCTTGCAGAGTCTCATTGCCAACTTCAAAGTGTCAAAGAGTTGAACCTGAATTACTTTGAATTTCAATTTTATTTGAACAAAAGCAAACTGTTTGTTTTTTTTTTTTTTTTTTTTTTTTTTTTTTTTTTTTTTTACACGCATATCTGCACATTGCCAGTCCGTTGTTCGGAATCACGTTTAACCATTTATTTTCAAAGCGATGAAACATCAATACAAGACAATGGGGAGGAAACGTACCACTTGGTCCCGCCCTGTTCCAGCAGTTCTGTACTAGTTTTAGCCGAAAAAAGTAACAACCCTCAGTCACAGTGTAACGCGGACTTGCTACCATTACTATTTTAAGTTAATATTTTACCAAGAACCGAACCTTCGTCTGGGCGATTCGCTGCCCCCGCCGTGAAACGTTAGCCGACACACCTGTGACATAGACATACGTCCACACGGTAGGTTAATTTAAACATGCTAAAAAAGACACACAGCCTGCATGTGCACGAAGGGTGGGGGCCGACTGCGATGGTGTGTTGTGGTACTTAAGGGCTTAGAGGCTGGAAAACCTAAAATAGACGAGTAAAAGCTTGGCTGTTTTAGCTAGCAACACTGGATTAGCTAAAAACACACGAGACATTCGGCTCGGAACCGTTAGCTGGCTCGACCCCACACCAGACTACATTAGCCAAAGTGCTAAACTACCATCTCAAACACTAACCAGCGATGTCTCTCCACGATTGAACGACAACACGAAATACGGCACAACGGTCACTCAAAATCGGCGTTGTCGTAAGTACACGGCGCGACGCGACAACAAAAATGTTAGGTTAGGTTCCTTCACGAGGCCAGAGAGCAACCTAAGTTGGCCGCATTTGGAGCATCCCGCGAGGCGAACGGGTGGATGACACATGAGCGACAGCGGCGCAGATTTTCCAAGAGTCTGCGTCGGGAAACAGTGACACCGGAGTCACATTCAACATTGGCCCATCGACGAGTTTAACACATGGGTGACACGATTTCGCCGCAACTGCTTTCGACGCTTGAAAACGTTGTAATTCAATGTTTAACAATCGTGTGGTTATCTTACCGTGGAGTCTTTGAACTAGTTCTCTCCCAAGTGCCGAGGCAGTGATCGTGTTGTGCCACACGTCACTCCGTTAAATCCGACTGGCGTACTCCTGACCAGGCGCTTAACAACAGTACAGAGAAGTAGGGAGTCCTTGCGTTACGTCACGTATGCCGCATTCGCGTGCTCTCGGAGATTGTATAAGCCGAAATACGCCCCGAGAGGAAAAACATCATATTCCCTGGTATTTCAAGGGTTCTTAAAAGCCTGACTTCAACAATAATAACAATAATATAATTTTGTGTTTTTTTTAAATTTTTTTAAATGGCAGCGCCACGAAGCATAATGCGGTGGAGTACTCGCATGTCGTATCAAGTGAGATGTAAGTGAACACCAGAACTGGAGTTAGATCAGCTTCGAGGGTTCTTGCAGCCATCTGTTGGCCAGAAATGTAGCTTACATTTAAACGAGAAAAAAACAAGACAAAAAAATGTACGTTATCTAGCAGAAATTATTGATTTGTGGAGAACTTTAATATAATGACATCCATATTAAAACTACTTTTGAAAAAGCATACATTTCAATGACAACTTCAAATTATAATTTAACTTCCCATTGAAGAATTAAAAACGTATTAATGTAAATCTGGATTTATTGCATTTTCTTGAGGTAAATTATGTGTGGTTATTTTCCCCACTATGTTAAGTCATTTGTTTTACTAATAATTATACTCCCAAAAAATGTTTTAGCTTGAAGAAATTAAAAAAATGTACGTTATCGAGCAGAAATTATGGATTTGTCAAGATCTCTAATTGAATTAAATCCGTATTCACTCAAACTCACACATATTTTAACGACAACTTGAAATTAGAATCTAATTTATGTTCTGTGTGATCAAAAACTATTTAATACAAATTTGGGCTATTCAAATCGCATCTGTTCCATGTAATTGTATCCCATATAAAGATGGATCATTAGAAAATCAGATGATTTTACAGAGTGGGGAAAAAGGACCAAATCCTTTCCCCAAATAAAATGCAATGTCACAAACAGGAAAACAAACAAACAGTTAGCTGCATGCTGGACCATCATCTACCATCCGCTTCTTGCTACACAGGGGAATTGGAACCAGTCAGGTCAGTCCTATCTAGAACATCGACCAAAAAGTTATGTTTCACATTCTCAACTGCACGCATATGCTCCAAAAGAGATGTTGCGATATGCCATCTACATCAACTTTACATTGGTTACCCGCAGGATGTGGAGGGGAAACTAGGCCACTGGTATTACATTTACTGCAAGTCGAACGGCATTCTTGTCCAGTCAGCTGATCTTGGTGATCACATTTTAAATATCTTGTACCACAACTTAAAATATTCTGTTTTCTTTTCCAGATTAAACATGTTGAATTGACCACCGAAGCACGTCACCTGACAGAGGACTTGCACCGCAGATAAGGCCTCAGTCACTGGGCGTGACCTATCAGCTATCCAAAGTTCAGGTTATTGTGAAACTCCTCAGGGCAGCCAATTTTTTCGGCTTTTTAAAAAAAAAAAAAAAACAACTCTCGAACAGGACGGCACGGTTTTTGGACTAGGCTGAATCATGCAGATCAACATTCGGATGATCCTCCTTGTTTACTTGGTAGGCACGCTTCGTTGCTTCAGCAGTTTTCTCAACAAAGCCAGTATACCAAGGATTGCCAAATACTTTGGTACCAAAGGTCGGTATGAAGACGTAAACCCTCATCTTTTAGAGGACATCCTGGCCGTCAACACATCCATTCTCCAGCCTCCATTTCCACAATGCCGTCCCATTCATCTGACCGCTATTATAAGACACGGCACGAGATACCCGACGAGAGCGATCTTCAAGCACATGCAAGACATGTACAAAGTGGTAAAAAGTGCCACGCCTGACAAAGAGAACTGGGTATGCGAGATCCAGACCCAGTGGAAGATGTGGTATCCTGATGACATGGACGGTCGGTTAGCCCGGAAAGGCGTGGATGATCACAAACATCTGGCGGTCAGGCTATCCAAGCTGTTCCCCACGCTGCTTTCTGAGGAGAATCTTCGAGGAGGACTTGTGAAGTTTATAAGCAGCTCCAAGCACAGGTGCCTCAACAGCACTCTGTCCTTTATGGCGGGACTGACAGAGCAGTGGGGTATTCAAGGTACTCACCTCTCGACGCAGCTCCATTTCAAAAGCACTTGAGCAACAGCTGCCGCTGTAAAAATAAATACATAAAAGTGGTGCACATAAAGCACAATAAAGTAAATAATAACACTGAGGAGTGATTTAAAAAAAAAACATCTGTTGAGTTAGATATTCATGTTGATTACAATGTTTTTTACAGGTAATTAGCTTAGCGATTACAAATTTGTCAGTTTTTTTTCCACAGCTCACCCTCCACATAAGCAAACATTCTACTGATTGGCTAAAGTAAGACTTTAGTAGAAGAGATTACGAGTCCCCTCATCTACAAATTCGTTGGTGCACTCACAATTGAAACAGTGCGGTGAGAGATATGTGCGGCTCCCAATCGATGAGTACTATTAATATCTGCGAACAACGCTCGCATATCACGGATTAAGAGGATCAGTGCTGGCTTTTCTCTTAACTTTGTAACCACGGGCACACCGTTGTAAGTTCTATTTCATTTTAGACAATCCAAAACAAACACTATGTTTTTTTTATTTAAAAGGGTGGAAATGTACACATTAGGATTTTCATTTGATTATTACAAATTTATGCCCTAGAAATGTTTTCCATCCAAATATTGACTGTAATTATGACTTAACTACTGCATTATCATCGGTTTGTGATGCTAGACCTACATAAGCTTTTCCGATGTATATGCACATTCGAGTTATCGTATATTCAGGGACGTATAACTACAAGTACCGAAAATACAGGATAAAGATACACAGAAACAAGATCATAAAAGACAGAATTATCAATATTTATAACCTCGGTTTTCCCCCATAGGACATAATGGAAATCAACTCTTTTAACGAAACCATAAATAAGGTGACGTAAATGATGAAATGCAAAAACTGAAGAAAAAAAGTACTGTCATGACTTTTCATCTTTTACGATCATTTTTTTTTTTTTTTTTAACATTACTGCGTACCTCCCTGTCGCCAACCTAGATCAGACATTTGACTACGAGGTGAACGACGCACTCATGAAGTATTTTGTCCACTGCACCAAGTTTGTGGAGGATGTTATCAGGAACCCCTCAGCCCTGTCGCAGGTTGACAAATTCAAAGAGGGACCGGAGATGAGGTCGGTCCGGGAGAAGATTGCCAACCAACTCCGAGTCCCCTACAAGAATATCACAGCTGGTCAGTGGTTTGATTTTATTGGCAAGATGATCCAAGCTCTCAGATTCTCATGTTTGTATTCAAAACAGTGATCACTATGATGTCATAAAAATGTGCTGACTGAGCAGCCGGTCCCTCTGAATTTTTACAAACCAATCCAGGCATTTCGCCAAATGTTTTCTGCGCGCTTGTCTCATTTTTCCGCAGACATGGCTGACGCTGCAATGAACTTGTGCGCCTACGAGTTGGCCATCAAGACCGTCAACTCTCCCTGGTGTCAGAGCTTGGATGAGGTTGACGCTAAGGTACGGGGGCCACACTCGTTGGGTCTAATCCCACAAAGTAATTCAAAATCAGTTGACATATTTGCAATTACTACGTGTATCTTTGGTAAGTCTTCAGGGAAACCAATAACTAGCAAAACGCTTTGTATGTTATGTCACTATTCATCTTCAACACTTACCGATGTGCTCAAAATTTGTGCAATTTGATGCAAGAAAGTGTTGACTGGGTGAACTTTTGGAGGTTTGAGGGAGGGGTCCTTATAATACAAGGTTGAACCATTTTTTCTTTAGGAACTAATGTAAATAAATAATCCAGTCCATGGCCAAACAGTCATCAGAATAAAACATTTATTAACTGGACAAGCGATGGCTGGAGTAGGTTTTTAACATTCAGTTAACCATTCCTAAGTCATCTTGCAACAATTTATTGTTCTTTTTAATACCCTGTTAAGGTAATTAGGACATTTGTTTTCAAAATGTATTATACACGGTCAACATAATTGCTGAAAAAGAAATGCTAACTATATCATACTCAGTTGTGGAGCTATGGCGCTGACCCTTTTCACCATGTCAGTTTTCCTGATTTTGGAGGGGGGCATGGCTAAAATGCAGTCCAGTGACGCACTTGGGCATCTGACAGGACCTCCCCCTGCCTCACTTGAGCATTTTCGTTTGCATTGCTTGCGCAATTACAAGTTACTTTGCTGTTACAGTATTCCTAAACCCACTTCTATCACTGCAGTGTGCAAGTAGCTAGCGACACCTACAGCCAGAAAAGTCATCTCCCCAAGATGCCACAAATGGCTGAACAGCTCGGAGTCTGTCCCGTCCACCAGATAAAAGGACCTCCATAGCGTGTTTGCTTGCAAGCTAGCTGGGGGCTAACAGGCCTCACTCTGATGGGCTATTTGTGGATATACTGTATTTTCACTGCTAAAACATGTCGGGATTTGTCGGCATAAAAATGATTCTAAGACATAGTTTTCATTTTTCAGCAGTGTGAGGGAAAGATGAGGCCTTGTAAGTTTGAACTTCCTGTTTCACAACCTAATGGCCATTTGACTATAAACAGTTAAGTCATTAGCCCACTCAACCCACAGTGCGTTTCATCATCAGCTTTGTCACCGTGGTTAGTCCTTGACAAACAGGCCGTCGTTATTCACATCACAAAAGACGTTTTCTGTCTGATCCGACCTTTAGCTCAGGTAGCCTGAAATGAGAGTAGCGTGAAGACCACCTGGCCTCAGATATTTTTTTGGGTCAACAGATAGTGGAGTATGCGAATGACCTGAGGCAATTCTGGAAGAGAGGCTACGGTCATGATATTAACAGAAAGTCCAGCTGTATTCTTTTCCATGATGTCTTCAGTCGTCTGGACAAAGCGGCCAATGAAAATACGTGAGTACAATGCCACTCAATGCAGACTCTTTTACAGTGAACCGAACTCTCACTACCCCACTGTTGGTGGGGTATAGAAACCGAGTCCGACTGCAAATAGCTGTGAATAATTGATGTGCCCTAATAATTGCCATTAAAAAAAAACTGTCAGAAAAAAACACAAAAAAGCAGGGCATTGAGTCAAAACTGTTTTCCACAAATAACATATTTTTGACTCTATTCTTATATGGATCTTCTTCCAAAAAAATTTAGGTCCGGCCAGCAGGTGACCGAAGCAGTGACGATCCAAGTAGGCCATGGAGAGACCCTCCTTCCACTCTACACCCTCATGGGCTTCTTCAAGGACGACGAACCCCTGACGTCGTCAAACTACGCATCGCAACACCAACGCTCTTTCCGCCCCAGCCTCGTGCTACCGTATGCGGCGAACCTGCTACTCGCGCTGTATGACTGCGGAGAAGGAAACTTGAGGTTGCAGCCACTGATTAATGAGAAACCAGTGAGCTTCCCTGGTTTGACTGAGAGTCAGCAGGCACCCATGCCACTGTATGAAGACGTCAAAGAACACTACAAGGAACTGATCCAAGGCTGTGACTTTGAGACGGAGTGTGAATTGTTCAGTAGACCTGATCAAGTTTTAATTAAAGAGGCCTTGTAGAATTAACGACCTCTTTAAAAATACAAGATTGCAACACGTGTGGAAATAAAACAAAATACAGAGACAAGAAAAGAATGTAAAATTTTAACATCATAAATGTGTCAACACAAACAACAACAACTAAACACTTTTTTGATACAACTGGGTCATGGTAATTTTAGAATAACATACAATCAATTAATTGGGATAAACAGTAATAGGAATCACATTGTTTACATCACAAATGTGCACATTTTATTATTACCTCGAGCACGACAGTTGTCCCTTGAGATGTGAGTTTGATATGAGATTTGTGTGTGTGTGTGTGTGTGTGTGTTTTCAGGTTACTGTAATAGATTATAGCGGCAAACCTGGTTCACACTCCTTACCAATAGGCGGCGGTAATGCACCTGAATGTTTCTTCCCAACCGCCATAAAACTCCATGAAAGAAGAATGAAGACTATTCCAGTACAGTATTCCAGTACTCCGTATCAATACCAGCCATTAGTATGTCAATGGCATTTTGATTTATTATATATATATATATACACATATAAACACATTACAAAATAAAAATAAAATAATTGGATTATTGAAACCAGTTAGGATTAAAATATGTATACTTTCTTCAGGCAAAGGTGTGGTTGTTTGAAATACACAATGTGTAATGTCATTCTCTGCACGATGTTTAGTTTACTAAATTCATTCAGGGCGTGGCATTAAACATCTTGAAGCCTGTTATTTGATGAAGTATTCCTTATTTGCAAAACTGCTGCTATTGGTGAGTTGAAAAAAAATGACGTCACTTTCCACTGGCAAGTCAAAAAAAACCCACTACCACAAGGATCAACCTAGCCATGTATGCAGAATCCATTTTTGGTTGAGCATATTCAGATTTGACCAGGGACTTGCTCAAACATGATAACGTTCAAATCTGGATTTAAAAAAATCCATAAGGGTTTATTGCAGTTTGGAAAAGAGCTTGTCATATGAATTTAGGAAAAGCCCACCTGCCCTACTTGAAATCAGCCTTACTGTTGTTGCCCAACTTCAACTCAGTCAACAGTCTTTGCATATTCAGATTTGACCAGGGACTTGCTCAAACATGATAACGTTCAAATCTGGATTTAAAAAAATCCATAAGGGTTTATTGCAGTTTGGAAAAGAGCTTGTCATATGAATTTAGGAAAAGCCCACCTGCCCTACTTGAAATCAGCCTTACTGTTGTTGCCCAACTTCAACTCAGTCAACAGTCTTTGAGAGTTGACAACTGTAACATAGATTAAGCAAATGGCTCGAATGATATGTGAGCTACTAAAATGAGTGCACATTTGTACGAGGTGTCTGTTGTGTGGCTGAGGTAGGTTCTCTACCCTTGAACCACCACTGCTTGTTGTGTCTGATGAACACAAGTAAAGATCAACACCTCGTGTGAACGGCGTTGGAATCAAGTCGACACGATTTCGTATTGTCTAGCAGGGTTTCGAGTCCAACGTTAGCTAGCCCTTGATGCTAATAGTCAAGCTAACCCAGCTAGTACTGTATATCGGTATTTTCGGCGAACTACTAAAAATGCTCGTTTTTTTTCTCTCGGGAGAGGGTTGAAGTACCGTGACAAAAGACGTTACACCATCTTGGGTGGTGGGAAAAAATGCGTATAAATATGCTGTACTCAAACTTAGTGGACACCGAAATGTCCAGCTTTCATTCTGCCAGGTTGGAGGGGGCTCGGCCAGCACAGTGGTGTCGTAACGAATCGCAATGACCAACTAGTTGGGGTGAATTTTGTATGGATGCGGGCGGAGGAGAGGGAGGAGGAAGGCAGGCTGGAGGCTGGGCCAGCCAGTGGGATGCTACGTGTCTTGGAGGGCCTTTTT